AGAAATGACTCAAACAGCAGAGAGTCAAAATCCGAGGGTCTTTTTGTTTGATGGAGTCAGGGAACGTGTTCTTCATGAGTCTTGGGAAGAGAGGAAGGCTGGTCATGGCGTGCCCAGATATGAAGATTCCAATCACTTCTGAAATAAAATTAATGAACCTGGTTGAAAAAATGCCATGGTAACTTTTCTTCAATGATCAAAACCAAAACAATTTGATATGTTCACTAATATTCTCCCAATCAGAAAAGCAAAAACTTTTATTGAAATCAACATTTTCCCATGGGAAAAAACTATTTCAATGGGTCACATTTTATGACAGAAAAGGTTTTTTTTGGGTCAATTTTTTTTTATCAGCTCTATACAGCCGCAAAGTGCACAGAGCACCTGATTATATTATTTATGACCATTAGTGACATTGCAGCCATGCAGTCTACCTATTTTATCTGTCTCACTTGTAACGTGCCCATCACAATAGTATCTAGGCATCAATGATGCTAAGAAGAAGAGAGAAATAAAATCTCATGCTCCATGGTGTAAGCTGGTTGTTGCAGGGGTCAGGACATTTCCCCTCCCGCTATGTACAAAGCGGACAGAGAAGCACTTGAACTTGGGACAAACTGAGCTAAGTTCTCTTTATGGGATGAGTGAAGGCAAGGATGAGCTCCTGGAACCCAGGCACCAGCTCACCCTAACCGAAGCGAGAGCTGTTCATTGCAATCCTACCTTCCCCTCCCTCCACCCATCCATTCGCCTCTCACTATACCATTCACCCCCATCACTTTTTTGGAGTGGAGAGGGACTCTGAACTTAACAAGAACACATACTTTGCTTAAAATGTAAAATAAATAAATAGCAGAAAAAAATAAATAAATAAAACAACAGGCAACAATCCTCAAACAAACAAACTAACTAACTCCACAATGAATTAAAAAGGAACCCATTATTTAACTTTTTTTAAATAGAAGTGCAACATGAGAGCTGAACCACAGTGGGCTGGGCCTGATGCTGTCATATCATGCTACTATCTGCAGCCATACATCCCTTGTTAAGGCAGCAAGCTGACACCTGCAATCTGTTTTAGCTCTTATAGTGCTGTTTCTAAACTATATGGATTACACATTCGGTTTTTTTTATGACCCTTGGAGAAAGAGTTTTCACCCCGAAAAGGCCCTGGCACTGAGAGGAGATGCCATGTCTTTGTGCCAAGTGCTAATGCAAACAAATGACTCCACGATCACCTACCAGTATTATGTGGATGAAACGTCCTGAATCGGGGTCCTCCCTTCCAGGAGATCCAGGGACACAGACATGTCACAGGAACCTGGCAAAGCTCTCAAGAACCTGTGAAAGCAGAAGCATCTGGCTGGTGTGTGTGTAAGCTGCTCTACTGTACTCAAAGGGATGGGGAGAATGCTACTCCTTGGGTAGAGCGGAAACAACATTGTGCTTTCTGTGGATGGAAGCAGGAAACATTCTTGCTTTGCTGGTTTGGAGTCCCTATCTTTTTGTAAAGGTAGTGATGAAGTGAGCTGATGAAGTGAGCTGTAGCTCACGAAAGCTCATGCTCAAATAAATTGGTTAGTCTCTAAGGTGCCACAAGTACTCCTTTTCTTTTTGCGAATACAGACTAACACGGCTGTTCCTCTGAAACTTGTAAAGGTAATTGCTGTAGTTAGTGCACCCATGGTGGCATGGGCAGCCTCATGGGCCAGCCACCCTGGGTACAATCCTGTCTGACCCCCCTGGGTGTGTACTCAGGTGGCTAGTCCCAGCTAATGCCATGGGCCATGGATGCCAGGTGCCTCGCACACGATCATAGGCACAGAGTGAATTTTAAGTGCTAGCTCAAGCAGAGGTACTGTGGGTACCTCGGTGCGGGCTGGGAATCACGCCTCCCCACTCCAGTGTAGATGAACCTGTCATATCACTCATTTCAGTTGTAACTTGAACACTTGCAGTTTGCTCGATGGGGAATTCCTCATGATCTAGTCAAGAGTCCCATAGGGTTCCGAAAGGTTAAATAAAATCATCTGGCATGTTTGAAAAGTAAATTTATAAGAAAGTCAATTTCTTTTCCCCTTAGCATTATGACTCTTCTTTCGTTATCTTTTGTTAATTTATTATTATGGCTTTGTGCTAGGCAGTGTATGTATGGGAACAGAGACAGTCCCTACCCCACAGAGCATGCAACCTAAATAGATAAGCCAGACAAAGAGAAGGCAGTATTATTCTCTCCATTTTATAGCTGGGAAATTGAGGCACAGAGGGAGAAGATCACTTGCCCAAGTACATATAGGGAGGCGATGACAGAGCCAGGAACTGAATCCAGACCTTTTAGTCCATTGCCTCAACCCAAAGACATCCTACTCTCTGACTGCAGTGCTTAAACTAGGATGCACAGGACAGCTGGGAAAATACTGCCCACTGCATATGCTATGTATCTAATATCTAGCCTTTCAGAGGCCCTCTTCCTGTGTCTGTCCTCTGCCAAACCCTCCATAAATTGGAGTTGTCAGCACACCCCAGAGCTCCGGTTTATTGCAAAGCTTTAACCAGCCTCCAATGCCCACTCCAGCTAGTTAGCTGTCCACTACACCTACAATGACTCCCCCTCCCCAAACACACACCTCTCTCCCTCTACCCGACTCTCGTATTTGTCTGGAGAAAAGAGTGCACATTTACTCCTGTCTTCCTTTCGCCATCTGGACTTATTTAAAAAAAAACGAGCGGCAAATTAAAAATAGGTGGGTACAGTGAAAGGAGGATGACATAAAAAGCCATAGAAAATTCTCTGTGTACTTTTAAAAGCCTGAATCGCCATATGGACTGGCAGAGAGTCCTGTTTTACATTTCCACTGGTACATGACTGACATCATTTACCATTAAGTTCTATTTGAATAAAATGGTAGTAGACATTTAGGTAATATTACAGGGCAATAAATGTTTTAAACAGCCTTGGGGAGATGCTCTTGAAACATGGTCCAGACCAGGATTCTAAAAATACATCTTAATATATATTAACCTCTTTTAGACTTCTGGCTCTCAAACAAATAATGAAGCCCCCACTCCACCCCTTTTACATACGGAATTGTTTGAGTCCCCAGCTGTATTTTCCCCCCTTTTTTCCTTTTTAGCTGCACTGGGCAGAGCCATGAGGGAATGTAGTTAAAATTCAAAAAGGTTCCCCTTTATCATTACCATGAATCAACACAATAAATGAGCCCCTTCAGAGCACGGTAATAAGAATTTGATAAATCATCAGCCAAAAATTAACTAGATGTCAAAACAATCTTTGGGAAGTGTGATGGATTAGGGGTGATAGCAGCAATTAATCTCCCAGCATGAGTTCACAAGAGAGACTGAAAGCTGGGAGATGGATCGGGGGTGAGGGGGGAGGCAGGGAGACCAAGGCCTCGCAAGGTCAGGACACTCCAGAAAGGAAAAAGAGAGAGAACGAAAGAGAGAGACAGAGAGAGAAAGAAAAAAATTCCACTGAGTCGGCAGTACCCAGGCATCCAGCAGCTGAGCTAGAGGTCAGCTGCATGCCTTTGAAAACCCTTCTGTCTCCAGCTGCTCTCTGTGATGAGGCAAGCATTTTTCTGCTCATTCTAATAAGTGCCACAAGCCAGCTCGTGGGGTACAACACATGGCTGGAGTGAGCAGGAGACCAAAGAGGGTTTATTCGGAGAGGTCATATCCCTTTGTAAACAATGCCAGGGAAGGCTGGGGGGGGCGGAAGGATAGTGGAGGAAGAGAAATCCTTCTCTCGTGTGTGAATTCAGCCAGAGAAGGCCTGTCAGCCTGTGTGTGTGGATTGACTAATTCCAACAGCAGGCAGGAAGAAAGTGCAAGAGGGGAAGTGCCTTTGCAGTCATAAATCCCTATCGAGCTGGCAAAACCACTTCCTCTGTCTTCCCTTTGTGAGTGGGCTTTCAATGATGTAGGAAGTGGTGAGCCAGGGAGGGGCTGCTGTCTGTGCTCCTGGCGCGGGCTAGATCGCATCTTGTGCCATCGCTGCAGGGCCCGGTGATACAGGAGTCACCTCCTAGCATGCCACGGAGACCCTAGTGGGCATGACTGTGGCACAAGGGTCACACAGTGAGCTGGCGTGGGCTGGAGGGCTAGATAGCAGAAGCTGGAAGGCAGAAGCCTTGTTCTTTTCTGACTGTAGGTGTTTAGATAGATAGATAGATAGGGCTATGATGGTGGAGTTCAAAAAAACCAGCCATTTACTGCTTTACCCCGCTACCCATATAAATACATACTCTGGGCCAGGCCCTCCACTGGTGTAAATCAGCATAATCCCATTCATATCCATGGTGCTATGATCGTTTATACCAGCTAATGGTCTGACCCGGTGTTCTAATTTGTTACACACAATATAATTATTCATTACAGAAGCCAGACACTGTTTGCAATTTTAAATCCAGGCTACCAACAACAGGGAACTCCTGGGCTTGGTCGGGCTGCTAGTAGGCAGAGAGGGTGGATTTTATGCCCATACAACCTAGGAGAGACAGAGGCACTGTCACAACATGTGAATTCTGTGCCACCAGTGGTGACCTCACAAATTTTGGCAACATGCCATTGCGACGGGTCGGACTCCCCCTTCTGGAGTGCCACCCGAAGTACTGGGACTTCACTGAGCCTTCCCTGCTCAACCTGCCTGGGTTCCCTCTCCCGGCTTCGCTGAATTGGGCTCTCCGGCCTCTTGCAGCACACACACAGGTAGGGCCACTCCTCACTGCAGACACAGATTGAAGTCAGCTCTGCGTGAGAGGACTCCTCCAGCACTCACATGCACACCCCTTTTGGGAGATAAACCCAAAATAATACTGTCTTGCCCTGTACAGAAAAATCTGCACAGCGCAAGCTCATAAAAATCCGCCCTCCTCCTCAATGTGAAGAGAGATGTGCACGACTTCTTGCCCTCTCCAGTTAGACATAGTACAAACTGGGCTATATTATAACCAAGAAATAAGTTTATTAAGGACAAAAGGTGAATTTTAAGTGACTATAAGAGATAACAGACTGAACAGAGCAGATTACGAGCAAATAAAACAAAGTACACAAGCTAAGTTCAATATACTTAAGAAATAGGTCACAAAATGTAATTTCCTTCCCTAAATGTTATTTTAGGCAGGTTGCAAAGTTTCTGTGGTTCAGAGTTCCAGTTATATGCCTTTTCAAACTCGACCCCCATCTCGGTCTGGAATCCAACCCCCCATCTTCTCTTCAGGTGCTCTAGCAGTCTTTCTTCATTGGCAGACAGGCCATGGAGAGGAGGGGTCCCATTTGCCTTCCTCCCCATCCTTAAATAGGATTTAAATAAGGCGGGGATCCTTTGTTTTCCAAACTTGACCCCCCCTCCCCTTCCAGTGGAAAGTTACAAGCAATCCCAGGTAATATTTAGTATCAGGTGACAAGACCACCTGACCTAATAGTGTCACAGTTAGGTCCCTGACATGGTCCTGTTGTTCCTTCCTGATGGCCCATCAAATCTGATGGCCTGTCATCTGGTGGGTGTCTTCCCAGTACATACCCAGTGTAATAGTTACATAGTCCATATTTCTAACTTCAGATACAAAAATGATATAGGCATACAAATTGGATAATCACATTCAGTAAATCATAACCTTTCCAGTGATACCTTACAGGACCCATCTTGCATAAAGTACATCTCAGTTATGTCATATTCATAAGCATATTTTCATAAGAAATATGGAATGGAATGTCACAGCCATCATCAGCATGACCTTAACCCCAAAACATCATGGTCTGGTGGGGAAAGCAGGGGATAGGGACTCAGCATTTCTGAGTTCTATTTCCCACTTGGCCATTGGGTGATCCCAGTCAAATCAGATCACCTCTCTGAGCCTCAGTTTCCCCATCTGTACAATTTGAGGAGTGATACTTACTTGGGTTGTATGGGGCTTAATTAATTAATCAGGGTTTGTAAAGCTCTTTGAGATCCTCAAGATGCACGATATGATACTTTGCTGAGCTAACACTATAAGCCTTGCTACTCTCCTTAGGAGCTGATTGAGGATCCCTCCCACACCCAGGCTTGGCTGTTCAGGGATTTATTCCTTGCATCATGTAGGCCCTCCATAGTGAAAGTGATTGGTATGATCTGGTTACTTCTGCGTCTGGTTTCCTACCATGCAGCAGCAAGAGCAGCAGCACTGGCTCTGGGCAACTCTGGGCAAAGTGGAAATTATGCACCATGAGTCACCCACTCATTGCCTTAGGCAGTGTTGCTGCCCTAGGTGACTGCTTGCTCTGCCAGTGTTGCTCAGCCAGCCCGGCACAGTGGAGACTCTTTGCTCTCCTTCCCCGTTATGTCCAGTTCTTGGTAAGTACATCTTGTTTCCTTCTATGTGTGTAACCTGAACGCTGACGTATTCTGGCAGGACTCTTCTGCTATAACCAGTCTGGCCAGACACAGAGATCACACACGTGATGGATTGAAGCAAGGCTCCTTCCTTCTTGTTCTGCTAAGCTCTTCCTCTCTTGCAAGGATCTGGAGATCTCTGCAATTAAAACAAAGAACTAAACAATGAAAGAAAATACTAACTGAACAAAAAGCCTAGTGTGCTTCTGCCGACTGCTTCTCTGGGCCCAACTTCAGAGCTAGTTCTCGGGGAGCAAGGCTCATTCTGCCATCCCTCCATCAAACTCACAGCCTGACTGGCCACTCACATAAAGAGTACATCAGCCAACCAGAGATGAATTCAGAAGGGACTGGGCCTGGAGTTATTTCTCCAGTACTTGACAAAGGCTACAGGAAATCATTGGACCAGATCCCAAGCTGTGCTGGAGCAGCAGGAAGCAGCCACATTACAGTGGAGGATCTGGTTCATTGTCTCATAATTCCCTACACTGTGCTACCCTGTGCTGCTTAGGGTTTCCCCTCCCAGTTATACTGCTGGCACCCCATTGGCATTGGTGTTCTTCTTGAATGACAGGGAATAAATCTGTACATAAAACAGAAACTGAACATGGGGAGCCTTCCCACTGAGATCTAGCAAATATCTCCATATCTTCCTCACTCCAGGGGGGATTACAGCTCTGGGAAGTCATCAGAGAGGGGACAGCAGTCAATACCTAGACTCCTTCCCTCTTTTTTCCACAAAGACACACGTACACCCACCCTTTGACTGAGAAGCAGAATAGGCAGGATGCTGCTGACCCCATAGGGCATCAGCGGATTAGAAGGATGGCCTTTGGGCAAATATAAAATCTGCCAGGAGTGGCTTGAAGCAGAGACACTCAGCACAGTCACTATGGACTCTGTGAAGGGAGTGTGTGGCACAGAGGCACATTGTGGTTCACAACTCTGTGTAGCAACTCCTATCAGGCCTGATACACTTACCACACCTAACACATTGCTGTCATAATATTTATCTGTAAAGAAGGTCATGTGAGATACTAAAGAAAGCTTATACCACAGTAGTCATTATAAGCATTGAGAGATGCACGTTCAGGTGTTATTCAAGAAGTTGTATGTATGGACTAAAAATATGTTGAAATGATGTAATCAGGCAAGGCTAATAAACAAGTTTATCCCAGGCAAAGGAATGTTGGTTTACCTGTCTGCTGAGATCTGTGGTGAAAAAAATCAAGCATTGCAAAATCCATAACTCAATAAGAGCTTCATTTGCATGAACGCCAACAAAAAAAGTCCCCCAGATTGATGGGGGAAAGTCATCAGAGACTAAAACCACAAGGGGATTGTCGTCTCTGGGGTCAAAACAATGAATTTTGGGGAGATATAAGGAGAAGCAAAAAGATATTTTGTTATTCACCAATGAGGGAGCAAAAAGGACAGTGCTTTTTGCATCCATGAAAGCTGGATTCTGGCCCCAGGGGAGAGGGGTGATGCTGAGAGGTTACTTTAGGTGGGAAGTTTATCTTAGATCAGATTTTAGCCTGCTAACATTATGTTTAGTCTCTTAGAAGCATGTTATAGTTTTGTTTTATTTGTAACAGTATCTGTTCCCACTGTCTTTACTCAGTGTCACTTAAATCTCCATCTTTGTTAATAAAGTTCTCTTTGTTTTATTATAAGTAGATCTCAGTGCTGTAACGTTAAGCACTCAATTCAATGGAAAAAATGACAAACAGCCTTATATCAGAATCAAGTAGATTTTATAGTGTATGATAACCAGTTTGGGAATTTGAACAAAATATATTCACAGATACTGTGAAGAGTTTGACCAAAAGCAAATTTTTCTTTTAAAGGTAACATACTGAGGTTATGAATAAGATTTTTTAATGCTTGTTTGGAAAGTTTATGCATGTTAATAATCAAAAATTAAAAGTTAAAAAACAAAGAGAACAAAATACTTAAAGCCTCTCCAGGCCCCAATTCATCAAGGTGCTTAAGAACATTCTGTTATGTTCCTGGCATATACACAGAGAAGTTAAATAAAACCATTAACACTCTTGCTGGAAGATAGCAATCTCAAACTACTTTATTTCTTAGAATTCAGAATGATATCTTGCAAGACCACAAAAACAGAGAGAGACAAGGCAGGCTGCTCCCCCAAAACAGAAAGGCACAACTCACCCCACCTTATTCTAGACTGTCTGTCTGCAAACTGACTGCAAAAGTATCCAGATTACAAGTGTCCCTATAGAGCCCTGTACCCTGAAAGCAGGATCACTAACCCACCCTGAAATTTAACGTGACAGCTTACAATTTTAAACACAGTTTTTTTCAATACACCACATGTTCCTCACTGTAACTAAGTGCTTTGTCCCACTGAAGTTATTGGGACTAGTCATAAGCTCGCACTTTGGCAGGTGCTTATGTATGTTGCTGAATTGGGACCTTGATCCAGACCCAGTAAACGCTTTTGGATCCAGTGATATTGTCCCCTATATAATTTATTTACAGCCATTAACACAACAACAACAACAACCCAGCCCTAACTCCTCTTTGTGCAAGATGAGACCCTCTTCTCTGCTTTCCTCTTGTAGGCAATGTTGCCTGAAGGCACATAGACTTTTCCCACCAGGTACTGAAAAGGCCAGACTCCCTGACTTGCATACACTTTTGCTGTGGTTAACCCACAACTTGAGAGCTCGTAAAACATCTGCTTACATTTGCAGAGCAATATTAACTTTGTCAGACCATGGCAAATCTGCTTAATGTTAATGGACGTGTGTATAATACACAAGCCAAAATACACTTAGAATGGGACATGTTGGAAAATAAACAACGATTAACTAATGAAATTTAAAGGAAGTTAGTCTCTCTCTCTCTCTCTCGCGCACGCACTGTCAACATTCAATAATCCTCCTCCCATACCCTCCTTGCAAATCTGCTGCTCACAGTTATGGCCTCAGACTGATGTGCTAGAACTTTGCCTCAGAAAAATGCACCTTTTAAATGCATTGAGATAATATGGAAAGGAGCACAGTATAAAAACCAATGCCCTGGCTGCATTCATGATATCGGCAATATTGGTGTAATGCTAATGTACTAGATCTGGTCAAATAATATTAATTATTTTTGCATGATTTTTATGCGGGGGAGGAAAAAATTGGTTTGAAGGCCAAGCCCACCAAAATGTTTGCGGAGTGCCTATACCTCAGAACCTGCAGAACACAAGTGGGTGGGTGTGAAAGAGAGAGTCGAAAGGCTTGATTCTCATTTACATCACTCCAGCAGTGTAAAGCATCCTTAAGATGGTTTAAGGCTCCTTTACACTGCCAGAATGATTGCGGGGGGGTGGGGGGGAGGGCCTTCTGTGTAGGAGACTTAGGCCCAAATCATGCAAAGGTTTTACGCACACAAGTAGTCCCATTGAAGTCCTTTTGTGCAAAGTTATTCACTTGCTTACGTCTTTGCAAGACATGTGAAAGGATGAACTGACTCAGATGCAAGCATGCCAGAAACACTTTTAACCAGGAAATACCCCTCTATGATATATATATATGGCCTCCATTTCCATAGTACTGCAGCATCTCACAATCTTTAATGTATTCATCTTCAAGCTGTGAGGTAGGGAAATGCTATCGCCCCCATTTAATAGATGGAGAACTGAGGCACAGAGACACTAAGGCCCAAATCCTCAAAGGTATTTAGGCACCTTAATCCAGTTGATTTCTAGTGACTTGCCCAAGGTCACAGGAAAAGTCTGTGGCAGAGTAGGGAACTGAGCCTTGGTCTCCCAAGCTCCAGAGTTGTGCCCTAACACTGGACCATCTTTCCTCCCACAAAACCCCTCCTCTTCTCTGTTCTTTCACCTCTTCCTGAAAGGTTGTGTATGTCAGCTTCCCAGAACATTAAAACTCACTCCCGTTCTTACTCAGAAGTGTTCACTGGAAAAGTTGCCTGGTGTCTAGACAGTTTTGGGTTTTTTTAAAATCCCTTTTAAAGTGAGTATAACATTCAATTCCCCTAAATTCATTACATCCTCTCCACCTCCGTAGATATATTTGTTAGAAATTAAACCCAACTGGCCTATTTCCACCTCTACACCTTCCATTAATATATTTTTGTAATGGATAAAGCGTGAAAAAACAAATGCTTGGAGATGAGCAGAGTGCCCTATAATTGAGTGGAATAATATCTCCAAGGGGCTTTTCCAATGAGGCACAGATTTCTTCTGATGTACATTTTTAGAGTCCAAGTAGATATAATGAAGTCCAGAACATTTCAGGTTTTCCCCTTAATATATCCATCATGTCCAGGTCCATTATTGACATGTTGACTTTCTTGTTTCTGATTTAAACTGCCAGACTCGGTAAAATTGCCCTGACAGCTTTAGCGTTTGTGGCAGAACACGGACATGATGTTACTTACAGCTAATTAAAGATGAGAGCATAATAAACAATCTTGGGAGCCTAGCAACCTAATTTCCTCTGGTGTTGAGTTTGCTGGATCTTGACCTGAGCACTCCGAAGCTCCAGTGAGCTCTAAGACTAACATACAGGTTCCAAGGAGTCTGCAGCTATTTAATGTGTGGGGCCTAATGTCCCGACTGGAAAGACCCAGGGAACATGAGAATCGTGCAGGTTGTTATTGCTCGTGGGGTTTGGCAGCTGGCAGGCAGGAATTAAATAAGAATCTGTGAAACTAGGAAAGTGGATTTCTCGCGCTATTTTGATGAGGAAAAGGAATTATTTAGAGGGAGCCAAGGGGTTAGAGCTAATGAGTAATGGGATGAAAATGAGCAAAGGAAAATTTAAACTGATTACCAGGAAATACTTCCTACTGGTGAGCTCGGTTAGACGGCAGAACTGCCTCTCAAGGGAAGTGGTGGAAACCCCATTGCTTGAGTCATTTTAAAACAGGCTGGAATGGTGATGACACTAGTTATAAGCAGAGTAAGCAATTGCTTGGGACCCCAAGCAGCTCAAGGGCCCCCCAATTTAGTATTAGCCTCAAAATACGGTTCATCTTATTTAACAGAGACTTTTTAATAAGTGTATCCATATGTGTTGTGTTGGTATTTTTTTTAGTTTGTGAAAATAATGCAATTAGAATTTTTAGGGGGTGGATTAGGGTAAGAGGGCCCCC